GCCTGCAAAGCGGTTGTATTTTGCAGAGCGATCCATGATTTTTTTCGGGAATGACGTTGTCCCGCAATCTTGGACGTTAGTACTACCAGTGAGTTGGGACGAGCCAAAAACTGATTTTAAGTTGATTTCCTTGGCTTTTCAAGATGGCGGCCACGATCGATGTACCTCTGAGTTTTATGGAACAAACTTCCAAGTGCATTAAGGATGGAAGCAACCCTGAAGCCTTTCAAAGCTAAACTAAAAAATTTACGTTTTAAAGAAGCCTATGATTTATAGATTTACGATTATTATAATAATGACTTATCAATTAACCTTTTAAGATAATTTTAATTACTAAGTTACAATACATTTAATGATCGAATGTTATAATTGCCTTTTTAATTGTATATATAGAGAGATTTATACTAAACTTTTAATTTTTTTAGGAAATTTTACGCATAATTTTATATATTTTTTGTTAGAGCGCATTAGATCATATTTAAATGCTACTTCGCGCCTTACAAATAATAAAATATTATCATTATCATTATTATTATTATTATTATTATTTGATGATTATTATTATTTCTGTTAAACAAACGCCTGCTCTGCAGGGTAAAGACAGGTCGACTTTGCTGCTCGCTAAAGTTCAGGTGAACAAACGCCACAGTGAAGGACATATACAGTGATTTTTATTAAAACAAACTATTTTGTGGTAGTTCGTTTTCAGTTGACATGTTAACTTACTCGATCTACTTAACCGGACAACAAAACCCACTAGAGACTGTCTTGAGGACGCCTTTGGTTGTTTAGTGGCTATGATAAGGCTGCGTAGGAAACTGGGTCGAAATTCTTCCCCGCAACCTTAGGATGGCCAATAAATTCTACAATTTCTTTGACACTACTTCTTCACAGCATTTCCTTCCTTTCACTTTCTCAAGCCCAGGAAGGCCAGGAAGCTGTGGAAAAAGAATTTTTATCAGTGAGATGACGCTTACCCTTTAAGTCCCAAGAAAAGTAAACATCAATTTTCTCCTACTAATCACCTTAGATAAAATGCTTTGATCTTCAACCAAATTCTTTCAACTTATTCTTTATGAAAATGTATAGGCTTTCAAGGTTATTCTAGCTGAATAAGGCATGGTCTTTACGATTTCTGTAATAGTGAAGATTGATAGTATTTTGAGACTATTGTTGGTTTCACATGACGTCACAAAAATTCAAACTACAAAACTATCGATCCTACTGAGATTTTACTTTCACGATGTATTAGAGCAGCTGAAAACTAATTTTCATACAAATTTTCGCTTCATAAGGGTTATTGGTTTTGTGATACAGTACGCTTGAATTTCATTTACATGACGGCCGAGAGAGCTGTCATGTACGTTAAAAAAGTCATGACGTATTTCGGGGAATTTGCTATCTTAACAGTTCATGTATTAGAAAAAGTATTACTTTAATGTTTATGAGTTCCTCGAGGAATGAATTCACGCTTTTGTACCAAAACTCGGTAACAGATGTTTTTGTTGGTTTCCGTCCGCCATGTTGGTGCCCATCCGGATGGGCACCAGCGTGGCGTCTCCATACAAATCTCTATAAATTTGGGTAAAACATTTCTTCGGATATCTCGTATACGGAATATTCATCTGACCTGAATCTTGGCCAGGGTCTTTGTATATGTATCTCCTTTCATTTCCCAGATTCCGGACTTTATCTATTGAACGGTTTTGATTTTTATTTTGATCTATTTTTAATGGCGTGACACTAAAAACCAGCAATTTATGTTGTCTTTCCAAACGACCCCACGAATCTTTGCGGTTACATATCGTACCCACTTTTTTTACTCGTTGAGAACATGGTGATTTATGGTCTACAAGTAGCCTCTGAAATAACACAGTTCTCTAGCGAAACGAGCGCCAGAAATTACTCAGTTATTCTAAAAAGAAGCCAACAGACATTTTAAGAGGCCAGTTACCTCCGTATGTGCCCATCCAGCCAGAGTAAAGTGGTTGAGATATAAGACCAACACAGAGATCAGTAACTGCTAGACATCGAAATAACAACTTGGTTGGTGGATGAATGGCGGAAACTTTTTGTAGAGCAACCAGGATGAGAGCATTGCCCAGAGTTGCAAAGATGGAAACAAAAATGTTTAGCGCTGTAAGGAATATCCCTACTCCTGCTGGTGTCTGCATTATTACAAATGTCCCGTTCGAGTTGTTTGCCATTGGTGTTGAAAGCCACCGATTACGTTTTATGCAAAAGAAACGCCGATTTGTTAAATAGGTTCGGTATCTTCAGCTGCAAGGCTACAGAACGCGAACTTCCTCGGACAAAAAAGCTTGTGAACGAAATACAAGTAGCACATTTAATTGTGATAGGTCTGAGCAGAAACTGGTAAATTTAATTGTAAACAGACTTTAAATTCACCTGCTGTTGCATCAAACGTATCAGATCAATCACGCCGATTCTTAATATTTTTTGGACAGGTCGACTTGTTCAGGGCTATAAGAAATATCCATTCTCCGGATGGTATCTTCGTTATTACAGATGCTCCATTAGAAGTGTTGTTTGCCATTGGTGTTGAAAGCCACAGATTAAGTTTTATACTAAAGAAACGTCGATTTGAGTTGTGACGTTCGGTTTCTTCAGCTGCAAAACTACAGAAGGACCTCGCAAATAACAACTTTTATGCAAAAGAAACGTCGATTTGTGTTAACGTTCGCTTTTTTCACCTGCCAAGCCACAGAAGATAAACTTCCTCGAACAAAACAGCTTGTAACCGAAACAGCAAGTTTATTTCCGAAGTATGCATGACTGAACAATAAATGTCACAAAATCTACCTGGGCGGTCTCTTCTATCTTTACGTCATCCTAACCATTTCGTACTTGCGGGCGCAAACAATAGAAACGTCATCATTACCTACCGATTCCGCGCGGCCCCTGTTCAAGCAAAGCGAGATTTTTCCTATATTGACTGTATGACTGTATATTTCTACTGTAAGTACTTTCCTTAATATACGCGCGAGTTAGCAATTAAACTCCAACTTCACCTGCTGTTACAATTAGAAACCGCATCAATTAAGCCGAATCGTAATAGTTTTAAGACTGGTTAGCCTGCAAAGCGGTTGTATTTTGCAGAGCGATCCATGATTTTTTTCGGGAATGACGTTGTCCCGCAATCTTGGACGTTAGTACTACCAGTGAGTTGGGACGAGCCAAAAACTGATTTTAAGTTGATTTCCTTGGCTTTTCAAGATGGCGGCCACGATCGATGTACCTCTGAGTTTTATGGAACAAACTTCCAAGTGCATTAAGGATGGAAGCAACCCTGAAGCCTTTCAAAGCTAAACTAAAAAATTTACGTTTTAAAGAAGCCTATGATTTATAGATTTACGATTATTATAATAATGACTTATCAATTAACCTTTTAAGATAATTTTAATTACTAAGTTACAATACATTTAATGATCGAATGTTATAATTGCCTTTTTAATTGTATATATAGAGAGATTTATACTAAACTTTTAATTTTTTTAGGAAATTTTACGCATAATTTTATATATTTTTTGTTAGAGCGCATTAGATCATATTTAAATGCTACTTCGCGCCTTACAAATAATAAAATATTATCATTATCATTATTATTATTATTATTATTATTTGATGATTATTATTATTTCTGTTAAACAAACGCCTGCTCTGCAGGGTAAAGACAGGTCGACTTTGCTGCTCGCTAAAGTTCAGGTGAACAAACGCCACAGTGAAGGACATATACAGTGATTTTTATTAAAACAAACTATTTTGTGGTAGTTCGTTTTCAGTTGACATGTTAACTTACTCGATCTACTTAACCGGACAACAAAACCCACTAGAGACTGTCTTGGGGACGCCTTTGGTTGTTTAGTGGCTATGATAAGGCTGCGTAGAAAACTGGGTCTGGCCAATAAATTCTACAATTTCTTTGACTCTACTTCTTCACGGCATTTCCTTCCTTTCACTTTCTCAAGCCCAGGAGGGCCAGGAAGCTGTGAAAAAAGAATTTTTATCAGTGAGATGACGCTTACCCTTTAAGTCCCAAGAAAAGTAAACATCAATTTTCTCCTAATAATCACCTTAGATAAAATGCTTTGATCTTCAACCAAATTCTTTCAACTTATTCTTTATGAAAATGTATAGGCTTTCAAGGTTATTCTAGCTGAATAAGGCATGGTCTTTACGATTTCTGTATTTTGAGACTACTGTTGGTTTCACATCACGTCACAAAAATTCAAACTACAAAACTATCGATCCTACTGAGATTTTACTTTCATGATGTATTAGAACAGCTGAAAACTAATTTTCATACAAATTTTCGCTTCACAAGGGTTATTGGTTTTGTGATACAGTACGCTTGAATTTCATTTACATGACGGCCGAGAGAGCTGTCATGTACGTTAAAAAAGTCATGACGTATTTCGGGGAATTTGCTATCTTAACAGGTCATGTATTAGAAAAAGTATTACTTTAATGTTTATGAGTTCCTCGAGGAATGAATTCACGCTTTTGTACCAAAACTCGGTAACAGATGTTTTTGTTGGTTTCCGTCCGCCATGTTGGTGCCCATCCGGATGGGCACCAGCGTGGCGTCTCCATACAAATCTCTATAAATTTGGGTAAAACATTTCTTCGGATATCTCGTATACGGAATATTCATCTGACCTGAATCTTGGCCAGGGTCTTTGTATATGTATCTCCTTTCATTTCCCAGATTCCGGACTTTATCTATTGAACGGTTTTGATTTTTATTTTGATCTATTTTTAATGGCGTGACACTAAAAACCAGCAATTTATGTTGTCTTTCCAAACGACCCCACGAATCTTTGCGGTTACATATCGTACCCACTTTTTTTACTCGTTGAGAACATGGTGATTTATGGTCTACAAGTAGCCTCTGAAATAACACAGTTCTCTAGCGAAACGAGCGCCAGAAATTACTCAGTTATTCTAAAAAGAAGCCAACAGACATTTTAAGAGGCCAG